TGGAAACATGTCAGCTGTTTAATTGTGTGGTCATTAGCAAGGTTTGAGATGGGGTGGTGGAATTCTTCGTTTCTCCTTGAGAATGCTTCTTGTAAATTACAGGACTAAAAGTACTCGGCTGCGAATATTAGTCCTCCAGCATCATTCAAATTATGGGTGAGAATAAAAAACCCGTGAATTGAGAACCGAAACAAACCGAATCAATTAGCCGAAAATAACCCAGTTGAACAAAACCAAAACCGGAACAAAGCGGCCTAAAACAGTTCAGTTTCTAGTTTTTGCTTTCAAAAATCTGGTTCAAACCGAACCGGGAGTGAATGTGTGTGTGTGTGTTTTTTTTTTAACAAACAATATTATCTACATTGAGGGGGTGGGGAAGTGGGATGAGCCTCATAATAAGCTAGCAATAATATAGTTAAAATCCATCTTTAGCGAGAATCGAACCTAAGATATCTCATTTACTAGTGAAAAGGAATACCACTAAACCGTAATACTAAGTAGCAGATTTGCATAACCCACTTGTTTCTCGAGAAGAGATGGGAAACATGCTCAATTTCATTTGATTGAATAGTTGACCCAGCTCCTTGTTGTTTGAAGAAACCCTCCGCTTCAATTGGTTAATTTTTTATATTTATTCTTTATTTTCTTTATTCCTTTTATTCTAGTAAAGTAAATAAATAACAAAAAGGGAGCTGTGGATTCTTGCACAATACATTTTCATGTATGTTATGGCTTAAGTAATTAGGCTTCATTCTATAAGCTCAACCGACCATTCCTCTATCCCAACTCAAAACCCAAGGTCCCGTTTGATGGGCTAAATAGGATAGACTGTGATCAATTAAAATGAACTTAAGTCCAATCCGTTGTTTGTTGTCGCAAAATTTAAGATGGATATAACTGGACATAATGTGTTATGAATATATAATAGAGTGAGTTATCTAACCTATTCTTAGAGCATTCCCAATGAAGGGCTCTATATATTTATGGCTGAAAAAGTGGTGGGTGGTGGATATAACCAATTTTAGAGCTCTGAGGAATCTTTAGGGCTTTATAAAAGAACCTCTCTCAATAGGGGGCTATTTCTTTCGGGCTTTATATAGAGTTGTATATATTTATTTATGTGATAATTTGATTATGTGATATATATATATATATATATTTTTTGTGTTAACTTTTCTTAAGTTGATTTTTGGACGTATTATCTTCTTCTTCTTCTTCTTCTTTTTTTATTTTTTTTATTTTTTAATGAATTTTTAAACCTAAAAAGGTTCAAAATTTTGACATAGTTATATTTCATCACTTATGAACCGTTCATTGGATTAGATTTACTTATCTCAATCTCATCCGTTGAAAGATACAAACCCTCACTTCATCCTCTGAAATAATTTGATTTTCACGTGCAACACAACCATGTACCTAGCACCAAATGGTAAATTAGAATTATGCAATTTTGAAAAAAATTATTTGAAAATTTTCACCCACCAATGCCCATAAACGTTAAATCAATTTGAAGTTTTAATTCTTATGGAATTTAAAACAATCATTAATTAGCCGAATTGCAATAAATTACAAATAAACACAACCAAATGTTTCATCACATAAGAAGGGGCATTTTGGGACTATAGAACTTTGTAATCTGAGTCATTTAGCAAATTTAATGAATTTTTTTTTTTTTTTTTGTTAAAACTCAATACACAGGTTTAAGTCAGGAAAAAATCTATATGATGTGTTAAAGTTTTAAAGGGGAATCCAAATTTTTAGATAAATAAAAGTGAGCCTTTTTACTATAATAGCTTATATCATTTTATGTCTTAAACATTAAACATACAAACAAAATGTAGGAGGATCTTTGGAACAAAAATATGTAAGAAAAAAGAATTAAAAAAAAAAAAGAATAAAAGGAGAGTATAAGTGTATTAGCAAATGAAAGGAGAGTGAAAGAATTTGGCTGACATGGGTTGCTACTTTTCTCGTGGGAGCCCACTGTTTTTTGAAGCTAGATGCATCCCAATTTTATGTTACCCAATAAAGAAAGTTGCTAGCCAAAGTGGTGGATCTAGTCCCATTTTTCAGCTTATTGGGGATGAAAAATTTCTCACTAAGACTTTAAATGTAGTAACCTCATGGAGGATAAAGCCTCTATTGAGGAAGCTCTTATACATGGGTTAAAACTCTTATCTTACAAATGCCAATCCAATCATATCTCTAAAATCCAATCTCATCCAGCTCACCAAACGAGCCCTAAATATTTTTCAAAGCCAAATACCAACTTACTAACCAGTTTAGAGGTGAACTGGCTAAATCGAACTGTATATTCCCTTATTCCAAACTAAAGAACAATACTTGACTTCACAAAAATATGAAGGAAATTTTCGACAAAACCACTTCATGACCGATTGTGCTAAAAAACAATTGGGTCACTAAAGGGGATAGGGCCCATAGGCATAAGCCCGACCCTATATGGGACTGTTTTCGGCTCTCTTTTTTTTTTAAATAATTTTTTTTTAGCACATGATATTACCTTTTTGGATTTCGTCAATTTAAAATATAAGTCAGATAGGCAGAGTAATGTATATTTATTCATGCATGTAAGTTTAAATCTTTCTTGTAAAATAAAGTAGATTAGCTTATACGGATTTCAAGCAATGATAATGACACACTCGTCAAGTAGTTGATGATGTCATTCAAGTCCTCAGAAGCATCTAGCAAGATTCTCTAATAAGATCAACATATACGGCATCCTTCAAATGAATTTCTTGTCAATATTACAATAATTGCTCATCAATTTTAAAATTATAAAAGATTAGAGCATTATTGGTCCTAAATTTTGGCTCAATTGGAGTTCTGATCCTAAAACTCAAAATTCATTATTCTTGATTCTTAAACTTACCATTGTGTAGAGCAACACGAATTCTTACAAAGTTACCCGAGAACAATTGCTGTGATAAACTTTGTAGATCCATGCAGATCTACCATTAATATTATCGATATTGTCTCAACTTAACCACTTATTATTAGGTGTTGAGTTTTATGCATCAGTGATATTATTATTAAGGATGAAAACTCTCATACATTAATTATATATTATTTTGTCATATGATGGAATCATATTCTCTGACATACTACACCTTGTATTAGTTCATGGACTAATATTTTGAATTTTTTGTTCAGAGACCATTGTTTTTATTAAGTTTTATAATTGAATTAAATTTGGATAAGAATAATGGAGTTTTCCTCAGCAAAGCAATATAATTTGATGTTCCAAAGTATGACGTGAAACTTTGAAAGCGATCAGTTGAGGTGAAGCTGAATGCAAAAAGTAGAAACTTTTGTGCGTGTATGTCGTCGGATTGGCTTTATTCCTATTAACTTTTTCACTGTTCTGGTTTTATATCTTTATCTAGCCGACTTGGATTGGCTTGGAAACTCATAATATTTCGAAATTCTAAATATTTGGAGAATATATATCGAAGGTTCGAGATTCTTTTTCGTACATGTGATAGCTGATTAGGTGTTTTATTATTGTTATCTTGCTTTAACAAATTCATCTCTAGATCATTATCTTGATTACTAGAGTATTGTACCTAATTGACACCTCTATATTGTTTAATATAATAAATAAAATACCAATATATCGTTGCTTTTTGCTTGTCAAAAAAAATATGTATTTGATAAAATTTTGAAACTATTAAGTCTTTGTTGGTCAACGCATGATCAATTTGTTTTATAATCTTCATACTTTATGTGCATGTTTGAAAAATGTTTTTAAAATAACTTAAAAACTAATTTTGAATTACAAAAATAAATTATTTTCTTGAAAAATACTTGAAATGAACTTTTTTTTTTTGGAACAAATGATATTATCTATACTAAGGGATGGAGAGTGAGCTAAGACTCACAATGGGCTAACAATAATGTGGTTCAAATTCGCCTTTGATGATAATTGAACCTAAGGTCTCTTACTTATAAATGAAGAGAAATATTATTAGACTGTATATTACTAAGTGGCTACTTGAAATGTTTTTTGGAAACATATTTCTCATGAACTTGAAACTTCAATGCAAAGACGATAAACACACTAATGCAGACTAGCCAACTAGTCTATGTCTTTTTTTTCCTGCAAGTATTTAACATCTCAAATTTGAAAAACAAAATAAAATCATAGCATTATTTTTCTTGGTGAATAAATCGGAGCGATTTTTCAAAGTATTTGAAACGAGGTTTTGTGCATTGTGTGTCATGACATGATATGAAAGAAGAGATTACATACATCTTCATTTTCTCTTCAATTGTAATATAACATGTAGTATACCGGACCATATAATAAGTAAAGTGATAAAATCACTTAATGAATCTCCATCCTACAACCACCATCCATCAAAGCCAATGTGTCTCACTTGTTTTGGCCCTCAAATTTATATCCCTTCACAGCTTTGCACCAGACCTGCATGCCGGAAAACTAAAACGATGGTGTTTTAGCTGTCCCCTTAGCCTCATCCCTTTTCTTTTTGTGTTGGTTTTTTGTTCTACTTGCAAGGACGTGTTGGTGGTTCAGATTTGATGGCGCTTCTCTGGTGCGTCGGTTTTAATGATGAAGTTTGGTTGGGAATACTTTCTTGTTGCGGGTTGAAAAGTTTTGTGATGCGATAGCTTCATCGAATACAACGCGAAGTTGGTTTTCTTAGGGGGTTACACTTTTAATTGTTGGCGAAGTGGTTGCAGTGGTGATGGTACACTGCTTGACAGAGATTAGGGTTATAGTTTTTCTTTTATGGTATTGTCTTAATGTTAAATGAACTATTTGGCTATCCCGAGCTTTTTTTTTTTATTTGGCTGTTTATCATATAGCTTATATTGGGCCGTTTTCCATTTAATAAAATTCTATGCAATCGAAGAAAATAAATTAAACATGGTAGAAATCATTCCAAAAACGAGGGAAAAGGGAAAAAATAAAAATAAATACAAACTCGTCGATGGAAATGGTGATACGAAATTAATTAGAAAACGTTTCTACCTCTAACGAAACGGGTTGAAGACTTGAAGTTCAACTACCTGAGGGATCTCCCTCTCCTCTGGCTCTGACAGACTCACACACAGAGACAGCCATGGCTTCCTCTCCCTCCCTACTCTTCGCAGCCGCCATAACGGCCCTCACTTTGCTCTCCGCACAGTCCGTCAAACTACCATTTCACCCCCGCGACGTCCTCCCTCTCCTGCCCAGACAGATTTCATGGCCAATCCTCAACTCTCTGCACAGCGCGGTCGACCTCCTGCCCACTTTCGTCGGCTCGGCGTCGTCCCCCAACCACATCGTGGAGTGGAAAGGCGCGTGCTTTTACCAAAACACAGCGTGGATGGAGTTCCACAACAAGACTGGCAGCGAATTCGGCGGCGGAACTCTTCATCTCAAGGTCTCGAATCAAGCTCTGGGCGTTTTTTTTAAAATTTCGTTTTCGAGTTTGGTTTTTGGAAATTTGGAGTTTTTGAGTATGTGGATTGTTGGGTATTGAGATTCTTTAGCTGGGTTTGTGGAAATTCGAAGTTTTGGTTATCAGGACACAAAATTTGAAAATTTTAAGGCGGTTTCTAGTCGAATAAGAAGTAATTTATGGTTTACTTTCAGGGATTTTAGTTTGCTATCAGGTGAATTAGTAGAAATTTGGACAGTTGGTTTTGTGGTTATTGAAGTTGTTGACTATATAGTGGGAGCTTAGGCTTGTGCGTTTACTGCTTTTGGTTTTTTCTCAGGTTCAGTGAACCAATTGGTAAATTTATTGGACACATCAGAGTTGGGGAAGTTGGATAGTAAGGGCCGTTGATGACCATTTTGATTTCAGTTTTCGGTTTTCATTTTCACTTCAGAAATGAAAACTGAAAGTAGAAATAAAAGTAAAAAATAAAAAAATTGAAAACCGAAACTGAAATAGTTATCAAACCGACCTAAGATAATTACTTTCGAGTTGAGCTTCTGGTACCAGGTGTGTGGATATAGGTGTATGATCTTACGTTTTAGTTTGATAGTGGGTTTTTCATACTTGTATTTTAACTATTAAAAACTGAATCTGTGTTTGTGTGCAGGTTAGTAAGGCTCACAGTTGGACATGTATGGATATTTATGTCTTTGCAACTCCATATACTGTCACATGGGATTACTATTTCCTATCTCGGGAGCATACACTTGAGTTTAAAGAGTGGCAAGGAAAAGATGAGTTTGAATATGTGAGTTGCCACTTTCTAATTCGGATATTATTTGATGTTTAGATTTGCTTTGAAAGGAAAAGTTGGGTTTAATGTGGTCATTAATCTTACCTTTACAGGTGAAAAACAGGGGAGTTTCTATTTTCCTTATGCAAGCAGGGATGATAGGCACCCTTGAAGCGTTGTGGGATGTCTTCCCACTGTTTACAAATACTGGATGGGGTGAGAATTCCAATATTGGGTTTCTCGAGAAGCACATGGGTGCTTCCTTTCATCAGCGTCCTCAACCTTGGGTAACAAATATTAGCATTGATGATATTCACTCTGGAGATTTCCTAGCAATATCCAAGATTCGTGGGCGGTGGGGTGGATTTGAGACTCTAGAGAAGTGGGTGAGTGGAGCTTATGCTGGTCATTCTGCTGTTTGTTTAAAGGATTCTGAAGGAAAGCTATGGGTTGGAGAATCAGGACACGAAAATGAGAAGGTGAGCTGCAAAGTTTATAAAATATTATATTTTGTTATACATCTGTTTACCCATAATTCAATCTGTTAATGTTAAACGGGTTGCTTTTGGTAAAATTATTGTTCAAGTCACGCCTTTTCTTTTCATGTTGTAGGGAGAAGATATTATTGCTGTGCTGCCATGGGATGAGTGGTGGGAATTTGAGCTAAATAAAGATGATTCCAATCCTCATATTGCATTGCTTCCCTTGCATCCTGATATACGAGCAAAGTTTAATGAGACTGCTGCCTGGGAGTATGCAAGGAGCATGGAAGGCCAGCCTTATGGTTATCATAACATGATATTCAGCTGGATAGATACTATAGAAGACAACTATCCACCCCCTTTGGATGCTCACCTGGTACCATATTTTAACTGCATTTAAGATTTCATTATCAAGCTACGTTACGGTATTAGTAAATGCTAGAATCGCAACTAATCTCCTAGTATTTCTTTTGGCATGATTATTTATTTCTTATTTAGTGATTATATTGAACTTGGTGGTTTCCATTACCCGTCTGGGTTGAGTCCTGGGATTCCATAGAGGAAGTGAAAAGGCAACTGTTAGATGCTTTACCCCAATCTTCTCTTTATGATTAATAACTTACTGGCTTTCACACAACCACTTTCATAAACATGATGGGTACGGATGTATTTATATCAAAGTGCTGATGCAGAAGTATTATGATTGTTTCGTAGCTGACTAGAAGGGGTCTGTGATGGGGATAAAGGTAGAAAGAAATACCTTTTTAGGCTCATAATTAGGCTCTCTCTCTCTCTCTCTTTGCTTGTGGATGCTTCTGTGAGCTTCAAGATGTTTTCTTAAACATTTTTCCTGATCATTAGCTCTATGATTATGCAGGTGGCTTCCGTTATGACTGTTTGGAATCGAATACAGCCTGCATATGCTGCAAACATGTGGAATGAAGCATTGAACAAGAGACTTGGAACACAGGTGTTTTAAACTTTTTCCTGGCATTGCAATATCAATTGGTCAAGATTTTTATTTTTGGTTTGAAGTTAAGCAATTAGTCAATATTGTTGAGTCGCTATATCCATTTGAGTTTCTGATGTACCCCTTGCATTTCGTGCAGAACCTTAGTTTTCCCGATATTCTAGTTGAAGTTGAAAAGAGTGGATCTTCTTTTGATCGACTGCTGACAATTCCCGAACAGGATGATTGGGTATACAGTGATGGGAAGTCAACATCGTGTGTGGCCTTCATTCTTGAAATGTATAAGGAGGCAGGACTGTTTGATCCAATTGCAAGTTCTATCCAGGTCACTGAATTTACGGTGAGTTTATCGTGAACAAAATTTAATCTGTTTGCCTTGAATAACGAGGCCACCTTTTTGCAAGGAGGAGAATTGATATAATAGTAATGTTTTTACTTGCTAATAGGTTAATGTAGCTCTCAATTGAGAAAGTCATTAGATTGTGGTACTTTGTAACGAAGTTGTTTCATAAGGAGTTTACATGTTGGTTTGTATTAATTTAACTTTTTTCTGTCATTAATGCAGATAAAAGATGCTTACATGCTCAATTTCTTTGAAAACAATTCAAGCCGCCTGCCAAAGTGGTGCAATGATGGGGACACTGTGAAGCTTCCCTTCTGTCAAATTAAAGGGAAGTATCGAATGGAATTACCCTTATACAACACTATGGAACCGTACCCCCATATGAACGAAAGGTGCCCATCACTGCCCCCTAAGTACTCCCGGCCGCGGAATTGCTAAGTCTTCAATTTGTTGCGTTTACAAATTTGTTACGCCTGTGGTCAAAGTCATTCTCGTTTCTTGTAAGTATGTTCATCTGTCGGGGTACAAATGGAGGCAGTGTTAGTTTTCCAATTGCTATACAATGTAGATGATAAATGGACTACGAATCTGAATGTGAAGGGGTGTTGCATTTCTTCATTTTCCAGAACGTGTTTGTTCGTTTTCTTCGTATTGTCATTCCGAACAGCTCTGTAATTGGGTGCCACAACATTATTGATGAGAACAGATGACTTTGTGCAAGATCTCTCTCGGTCGCTAATTCGTTGCAACAGGGGTTGATGCTGTGCATGCAGGGGTCTTGCAGTTATGCTCTCGTTCCGCATATAATTTCCCAATGCTCCGAATCCATGTTACAGTGGTGGTGCTCTTGTTTTTCTTTGCCTTTCTGTGCTACATACACACCATCTAGGATTTAAAAAGTTTACTGTCACTTCTTGCATGCCATGGCACTGATGGCATGCAATGCGACTGATGGCAGTATGGCATGAAGCATCTCAACAGTCGCATTGCATCAGTGCCTTTTATGAAAGAAAATTTCAAAATCTTGGCTTGATAAAAAATTATAAAAACGATTGTTTGGATATGCGAGCCAAAGTTGCAAAGAGCGTTGAGTGGCACACTACTAATCAACAGCAACGTGTGGGTGGGGTCTTATACAAAAAACCTCGATGTGATTAATAGTGGAAATTCAGGTTTTTTCGATGTGGGACTTCTACATTCTTCAGCAAATGTAAATATACCTTGAGGAAGGGCTGCATAAACAGCAGGTTCATGAGCTAGAGCCCGCAGAAGAAAAGTTATCACAACAGATGGGAGTGTCATGCGCTGCGAACATGACTCGAATGAAATTGTGCAAGTTCTCATTTCTGTTAAAGCTTCTTCATTGTCATCATTTCAGATTTTAAGCCAGCGTGCGACAAGGGCTTGTAAAGGAGAAGCGTTTTTTGGCTCGAGTTCTGCGCTTTTTCAGATATGAATTCCTTAATCATGTGTTGAACCTTCTTGCTTTCCTTGATGCTACGATTGTAAGGTGTGAAGGGCAAGTTAACTGGGGGGACTGACCACTTTCCTGCTATCATTTTTTCGAAACACTCCATGAGTTCATCTCTGCGAGTTCCTTGTTCAAGCCTGAAAAGCAGAGAGCACGTTATGTTGAACGTGAGGTTCTTCATCAGGGGCAATACCTATCAAACAACGGAAAACCTTGTTTAGTTCGAATTGATTTTCGTTTGTTTGAGTTCAGCTTCATCAATATATATATATATATATATATATATATATATATTTAAACTTTCATTGTATATTGAGAATTAGACTCTTGAGAAAGTTGTTAATAGGACTAAATTTAATGTTATTTGTTGCTTGCCATGCGCATGCATCTCAAGGTGCTTCCTGATGTCTTGGTCCATCTTCAAACATACTGTTTCACTGACTCAGGCTTCAACAACAATGTAAGAGCGTTTCTAATGCACTTGTGATCGTGGCCACTCAGCTTGGATATATCCGGTGACCCAAAATCGTATGAATGGACTCGTCGTTTTGTTGATTGGAAAGGTGCTCCACCAGTGGTGAATAGAAACTTGTTTGCAGCTAGCCTGTGCATGGATGAAAACGGTTGGTCTGTCAAAGAGACTCATCTTCGAAACTGGACCGTACTTTGCGATTCTTTGTTGAAGCCATGTTTCTGCGGTGTTGGCACGCATTGCTCGGAGGAGAGCGAGGCCTTGGCTGGTTACGGGAGTCCAAATGAGCTCGGAGGAACCTTTTTTGTTGTTTTTTTTGTTCTTGTTGCAAGGAGAAGCAAGATGGGAATGAGGAAGAGGAAAACTGTGAGAAGGGTGGCATCCATGATTTGTGAAAGGCTTATGTCTTGTTCTTGAGACAATTCAAGTGCATTACGGGGTTTCTTGCACACTACGCTCTTACCAGCTCCACTGAGGTTTCTTGGTTTGAAGAACCTCCAAACATTTTAATTGATGCTTTGTCTACAGATTGTAACCCTTAAAGTGGCTGGTTCTTTTCCTGGCGAGCTGCCTACTGCTCCTCTTGACTTATGAATGTATCGTTGCTTTCAAAAAAAAAAAAAAAAAAAAAAGTGCATTATGGGGTGCTAAAATGTCTTATTCTTCTTCATTTTTAATTATAAGAGAAGAAAAATACAAAATTAGGAAAATAAAATAAATTTGATCCCTAAATAAGTGATGAGTCCATATTATATTACACGATATATTTTACCCTTATCTTGGTATTAATAAATTAGTTATTTTGGTAGAATTTTGATACTTTGATATATGGTTCCAATGTAGGACATTCGACTTCCTTTGGAGCAAAACGTAATCAAACGGATGGAGTGATTCTAATTGGAGGATGTTTGTGAGTCTTTCAAGATGATTGTATCAAAAATTCAGATTTTTCTACTTAGCCATTTGACCGTAACAATGAAATAAAGGCATAGCACGCAGCTTTCCTAGATTTACGTTTCTGGATGTTTTGGGTATGTTGAAGGTCAATGTGACATATTTTGAGGAAGATTCCTTATGAGTATTTGTTAGGGGCGTCTCAAGCTTTAACAAGAGACTTTTTGGGAACAAATCAGAGATTTGGTGGGTCAAAAGTCTGATTTTCTGAGAAGTCCAAATTTCAATTTAAATAGGAAACCTTTTATTTTTTGTTTATTATTTTATTATGTTTCCTAGTTTTATTCTAAGACTTTTTAGGGTTTTATTTTGTAGTGGTATAAATAAGACTTTTTAGCCGTCAGGGTTAGAGGGGAATAAATAGGGGGAGAAGGCACACATTATTTTGGAGAATTTCAGACTTTTTACATACAAGTTGTTTTCAATCTTTTTTCTAGTTAATATATTTTCTTTAGTTTTTATAGTTGTTTGTAACTAATTTCCGTTTACTAGGGTAAAGCCATGAGCCTTAGCATGAATATGTGATTTTATTAATTTGCTTATGAATGGATGCACGCTTGCTTTGAATTATTAATCACCGTGATTAAACTATCTAATTGTCTTAGTGATTCGTGACCATTAGAGTTTTTAGACAAGTAATTTGATTCAATTTCTGTTGGAACATCACCTTGAAATTGAGGAGGGCTTCTTGTGATTAGTAATTGTAAGTTCACTTAAGGCAAACATCACGCTCTTAAGGGTTGCATGGTTTTTTTAAAGGGTTTTCACAAAGTTTAATGAGTCTTGCATGTTTATATTTGATCTAAACATCACATATGGGTTGCATGTTAGATATACGTTTTCGCTTAAACATCACAAGGAAAATATGCATTAGGAAAACCTAACCTTCAAAGCATGTGTATGAAAATTCATAAGTAATTGGTAAAATTATGTAGGATTGTTAAGGGGACGGCGGAACCGTAGGGCTTTGACAAATTCATTTTCCTTAAATTGTTTTTTAGTTGATTTCTTTAATTGTTTTATTTTGAAAATTGTTTTTATTATATTAAATTCTAAAATCAACATTTTCCGAACTTTGTTTTGAATAATTAACTAAGAGTTGGTTTTAAACACAAATTATTCATTCAATCCCTGTGGAAAATGACATTGCTTGAGATGCTATACTACCGTGTACTCTTGCAAGCATTTTTAAATGTTTTTATCCTTACTTTTATAGGTGGTAAAAGTCCTATTAAGAAATTGGCGCCGTTGCTAGGGATTGTTTCAAATAATTTGTGTTTATCATTTTCTTAGTTAATTATTTGTATATATCTTTTTATTTATTTGTTGATTTTATTTTTTTATTTGGTTCGCAGGTTATAGTTTGTTGAGTTTGAGAGCAAGTCCATGATGGAACCACCAACATGAGGATTACCGTTATGGGTTTCTTTAGTAGAAAAAGGTTTTTATGGATTTAAACCTACAGTTTGTGCCCTTTGCTGTTTGAAGACACATGATCTTTTGGAGTGCCCCGACAGAGAATATTTTCTTGAGTTTGTCCAAAAACATATCAATATGAGAATCGACTCAAAAAGGCCTTGGAACAATCCCTATTCAGAGTTCTACACTACAAGTTTGAAAAAACATCTTGAGCAATATTTTGAGGAACCTAATGTGCCACAAGAGCTCTCAGTGGAGGACAAACTTTCTATATTGTTGTAATCAACTGAGTTGTACATTGAAAGAACCCATCAAGGATTTCAAATTCAAGCATCAAACCGTGGGAACATCTTTAATGATCAGGAGGAGATTGTCTCAGGAATTGAGGAGCACTCTGCCAGCTATTCACGCCCATGGGAGGAAGCAACACATATGAATCTCTTCCCAGAACCAAGAGCCACCGATGTTTATGTACCACTAAAACCCTTCCCACAAAGGTTGCACGAATGCACAAAAATTGATGTGTTAGAAGCTATTTATACAAAATCAGAATTTGGTACATCACAAGATCAGCTTTTGGACAACTAACAAATCCGGATACAGGACAGCTACCTATTGATAAGAAAATCTTATTGGCTGTAATAGACAGTGGACCTGCACAGTCCATCAAACTCGAAGAAATGCCAGATGAGTCCTACGAACATGCAAAGATCTATATGGGAAAGAAGAAGCTTATTGACAGCCAAGTTCCACATAGAGAAATCCAGCCATTGCAAAAATTGTGGGTGTTAAATACAAGGTGGAAGCCAATTCAATAAATACCAAAACCTTACTGGAAGGGAGTCCAGGGACCTTATATAACATCCCACATCACCCAGGGGAGTGGATCCTGTAAGCCTTATATGTATATTCCCATCTCTACTTAGCACGAGGCCTTTTGGGAGCTCACTGGCTTCGGGTTTCATCGGAACTCCGAAGTTAAGCGCTAGGAAGTTCTCATGTGAGTTCCCAGAAACAAAACCGTGAGGGCATGGTCAGGGCCCAAAGCGGACAATATCTTGCTATGGTGGAGTCGAGCCCGGGATATGGTGGGGGCCCGGGCCAGGATGCGACAATTTGATATCAAAGCTAATCCCTGGTTGGAAGTGTGTCGACAAGGACGTTGAGCCCCTAAGGGGGGTGGATTATAACATTCCACATTGCCTAGGGGAGTGGATCATGTAAGCCTTATATGTATATTCCCATCTCTACCTAGCATGATGCCTTTTGGAAGCTCACTGGCTTCAGGTTCCATCGGAATTCCAAAGTTAAGCGAGATCGCAAGAGAGTAAATCCTAGGATGGGTGACCTACTAGGAAGTTCTCGTGTGAGTTCCCAGAAACAAAACTGTGAGGGCATGGTCAT